TGTCTATAGCTATCCGTTTTGGGCCAATTGACTCAAGTGCTTGCGACGACACACAAAAATAAACAAAGCACAAATAAAAAACCCAAATTAATTTCGATTTCATCTGGGGATTATACTCTGGCTGGGATCACATAAAGTTTTTAAAGCGTATTTGCAATGCAGGTGGAGTGGAAAAGTTGTGGGGATTAGACTGTGTGAGGAATGGAAACCAGAAACAAGTAATTTGCAAGTCATTTTGAAGGATCAAAAAGTCTTTAAGCAATATATAGTGGAACCAGCTAATTGCATTATTTTTTATTCTTTACTACTTCCTTTTTGTACATCTAATTTTAATTGAATTAAGAGAATTTATTGAGAAGCTTTTGTTTAAAATTCATGCATAAAAGGAAGATTAGAAACGCATTAGAATATTCGGCAGTAAATAAACTTCAAAAGTCTGCAACTACTGTGTTTAAATCAAATGCCATGATGCCATAAAGATGAATCGGAATAGGAAAGTCCTTAATATCACTATCATCAGATAGCTAATAAATTGCAGTTCGAGATTAGTTTATGATTTAAAAGCAATGCACAGATATCTCAAATCACCATTCCCAAAGACCGAATTTTGATCAACTTTGACTAGCAAAAACAATCGACCTAATTTTAATGAAAACTAATTTAATATGGAAGTAATAAATAATAATTACTTTTTGCTAAAATTTTTTTATAATCTCCAGCAGCTCCTAAGAATCAAAATGACAATTCCCTCTACCATACCTTGACTTGTTAATATTTTAATAAATGCAATTTATTAAATTAATAGATCACCTTTGAGCTTAGTCTTCACAGGCCTTTTCATGGAAAACGCTGGGAAGGGTATTAAACCCCTAGCTTGGTCCCCTTGTACATTTTTTTATAGCCCCGCACGTCTAATTGAAATGTTAGGGGCAAGAGTTGAGTGCCACCGACTCGGACGAGACTTTTAAGAGACTCAATAAAGCGACGAAAAACAAAACAAAAAAAGTAAAGTACTATAAATGAAAAGTAATATCTTTGTCTTATGCGTTTTGTCGCTTTCTGCCGAAATTCAGAGGCAAAGGTGAGGCCAAGTCGGAGTCTGTGTCTGAGGCGGTGCCTGAGAGTCCAAGTCGGAGACTTGGAGACGACCTGCTAATGTGCGAGCTTCACCTAATGGGTAGATGTCCGGGTCCCCGGGGGTTGATTGCCTCAAAGTTTGCCACAATGTATCTAATGGATGTGGCAACCGATAGTGCTGCTGCTGCTGCCTCTGCCTACTGCTGCCTGCTGCTGTTGCTGCTGTGGCAACAATCTGGTGGCTGGCTGGCTATTGATTTTGCAAGATTTGCAAGGCCTGGCCATTATTTTTTGTTTCTTTTGCGTAAGTGGCCTAAATGAAGTGAACAAAAAATGGAGCGTACTCACCTTTCGGGTGCGAATCAGCTTGGCCAGATCAACGGCAGGTATCTCCAGCAGGTGGCTGCGTATCGGTGGCAGCTTGCGCCGTATCACCTTGATGTTGGTGTACCGACTGTAGGGCACCACGAACCAACTGAAGACAATCATGGCCGAGCGCAGGAACCGGCGCATGATGTACCCCAGGATCCTGGAACAAAGTAGCACAGCAATTTTGACGGCTTAACACTCGGCTGGGGGGTGGCAAAAAATAAAGAGAGCGCGCACTGTATCGCGCCACAACACTGCACTGCACACACACACACGGCTGGGGGGGACTCTGGCTCTGCACACAGACGAGTGTCTGAACAGGTTGGCAGGATTGTGCAATATTGCAGCTGACTGCAATTGATGGCAAAAAAAGAGCCAGCAGAGACGACGGCAACTGCTGCTGTTGCTGCTGTTTGTGATATGTATTTTCGCTTGCACAATATTCACTTGAACACTGACTGACTGGGCTGGGCTGGGCTGGGCTGAGGAGGGAGGGATCTGTGTGATGCCTTTTTGGTCAGTTGGCTAATAGTTGCGTTACTTTCTTAGCCCCGACTTGCATCTATATGTATCGAAAAACTAGTTTTGCTTAGGCAAAGTATCTCTGGGATGCACTCGCATATGACACGACTGGCCCTGCATACGCATGCGCAACGTTTCTCCGGCTTTCATTTTGGGTTACACTTTTAATTTGTATGCCTCAACACATTCCAGGCTTCTTTCCGGGCGGCTCCTAACAAAAGGCGGATTGACTGAATCTAACTCTGGGCTCGAATGTATTTCTATTCCGAAACGAAACGAACTGAACCGAACCGAACCGACGCGAACGAGACGAGAAAAGCAAATAAACATGGGGCTAGCATGCCACAAAGTATTTAAAGCATTGCTTTGGAGAGTGCTGCTCCAAGCTGGCTCTCTCTTTCTCGCTCTCTCTCTGTCTTTGGTCGCTCTTCAACGCTGTTAAGCTGCTCTTAACTTTTGTTGTACGAGTAAGTAGTTCCCATTAGGCCTCCAAAGGAAATGGGTTTGCTCTGACTAAGCATCAGATACGAGTACAACAAGTGCGTCAATGCCAATGCTTGGGACTACTATCCCTGCAATTAGCCACATGCCCTGACCTGTTGAACCCCCCACATTACCACAGATTGCAATTGGAATGGATTTTAGTTGTAAACAAAAGGGAGGACCCACATCGCTAATTACACACATAAGACGGTCGGTCGGTTGGTCGCCCACTGATCGACTCTCTGTTTGTTTTTGTTTTAACTTTAGAGATCAGTTATTGTACAATTATGCATGCTGACCCCTAGTTACAACTCGGCCTGAGATCATCGGCATTTAAATAAAGGAACACTGCCAGCGTCATTCGCTGTATAAATATTGATGCCAAAAGAGGTTTCCGGGGGAAAACCCTGTTGCGGTCTATTTACAAATAGTGTGAAAAGAAAAAAACATTTCACAAGAACTCAAACACGAAACTCGAACCCTGAACCCATTTAGTATCACGCTCCCTTCACAAGCAAGTTGCTTGGGATGTACATAGATCTAAGCTAGTTGTAGAACGTGTGTCAATGAATCAGTTGGGCTTGCAACCCATTCATCTTCGCAGTTCTACGTGCACTAGAGTTCTCACAGATCACATGCTCATGTCCAATCAGTCCCTTAATTAATAATCATTAGTAAATCGAAGCTAGTTTATTGCATGTCGACGCATCTGTTTGATGTTCCCTATTGATTACAAAAATATGGTTTACCCCCCGTAGATCTCTGACACTCATGGTATTTAATAGCCTCTATGGATAGATTACAGTGATAGATAAAGTGTTGTTGATTCAGTTCCGATATTTCCATTCATAATCTATAGATTCCAATAAAAACTACATACATATATCAATCAAAGGGCTGATATATGTACATATACAATCAAGTATTCATAGACCGACCTCATTGGTGGATTCGCCCTAGGTCTTTACTGCTTCGACAACTGACATACAAGCGAAAAGTGAAAAAGAGAATGCCCGGATATGAAAACAACAAAATCCACGACTTGAGTGAGTGTTCATAATTGTATGTAGATTGCAATGGAGAACCTATTACATGCCCTTTTACGAGTATATTTCTCTTAGACTCTTCTAGACATATCATCGTAACTCGTCAAATGGGAACACACATTAAACTAGACAAATATGAATAGTTCCGAATTTGATTGTTAAATTCATTGCAAGACTGTTTAAAAATTTAAATAAATTATAATTATTATATTATATATATTTTGGTAAAATCCGTTGAATATCCTGATTTACACAGGGATCATTTTTAATCTACATATTTTTTTGGCTATACTTTACCCTGGTCTAATCTAAAAATGATCTAAAAATTTAAGCAGATCCATTTCTTAGTATTTTTAAAGTTTTAATATAATAATATGAAATATGAAATTTTATTTAAACTTCTGGATTTCTGCTTAATGTATTCCATGATGTTGACTACATTTTTCTGATTTATGCATCCAATTTATAATACATTATATAGTTCTAATAATTTTAATAATTAAAGAGATTAATTTTTAAATTTAAAAAATGTATTAAATATTTTAAAAACCTTTCTGTAAAACCCGATTTATGATATATACTTTAGGAGTATAAAAAGCGAAGGAAGCTTTAAAAAGAAAATGTTTTTGTCGTGTTCTAGATTGGTAATTTTATGCACTCGTATGCGCGACCGGTACTTTGCCAGTCTAAGTATTGCTACCTAAATTAGATCCTAATCAATAAACGTAGCGATGAATCAACTCCATTAGGAACACTCTAACGATTTGTTTACAATACGTGCTATGACCTCAAGGGTCGGTCTGCGTGAGGACCCAGTGATCTGTCTGACACTTATGGTGAGCATTGAGGCGTAGGTTACTTATCAACGACAATAAAATTGCTTTTTAATTGTCTGGACCATTAGGAAATAATTGCAGCATATTAGGGACTGGACGTAGTTAGGCAATATTTCAAGAAAAACAACAAACAAAATAATATATATACTAATCTTAAATGCTAGAAACCAAACTAATCATTTAGATGGTCGAATACTTGTTCAGAGATCACGCAATCCAAGATGTCAGCAAGGTGGCATAATTACAGTGAGAACGAATCAGAACGATAATAACCAGGCAGAGCCAGAGACAGACACAGAGAGCAATAAAAGATCTCATACTTGGCTGTAATGATATGGCATCTGGGCTTATTAAACTCCAATTGAGGTGGTTCCCCACACACAAAGCAAGGGACGAGTTTTACAGTCATGATTTGAAAGGATTCAGACTTGCGTGGGGAATTCTCCAAGGTGAAACGTGAATCGAGTAATATTGTAAGAGGGGAAGACGAGAGAGGAGAGCACGGCAGAGGAAGCTGCCTCTTAACCAGCTTAAAATGGTTGCTCTCTCTTTAGTACGTAGTCTCTAAGAGTAGGCAATAAAAGATAACATGGAGGCAGAGAGTGAGAGTGAGAGCGAGAGAGCTCCAACTGGCTTCCGTTGGGGGGGGTCTTTGGCCAGTGACGATAAATGTGTCCGCGGATCAAGTTGGGTCGCAAAACTTTCCATCGCCGTAACATACATAGATAGCCGCTAGATAAGTTAGCAGCTGCTCCATTCACATCCCGCCCGCGATCTGCACCCGCCCCGACACAGCAATGTTGTTGTCACCGAAACTCTGTCAGCGACTCCATTGTGGCTTTGTTAATTACAGACTCTGTCAGAGCTTGAGAAACTTTGCAGCCGCCGCAGCCAACGAGAACAATAACAGCGATAATAATGCTAGTGTGGACGAGCGTCACCATCCGCTGAAGGGCGTGCGCATTCTGGACTTGACCCGCATCATTGCCGGGCCATACTGCACCATGGTGCTGGCCGATCTGGGGGCGGAGGTCATCAAGGTGGAGCGTCCGCATTTTGGCGATGAGGCCAGAAAGTGGGGACCGCCATTCTTGGAGAATAGCCAAGATGCCGCCTACTTTCTAGCGCCGAACAGGAACAAGCAGAGCGTGTGCATTGATCTGAAGCGTGGCAGGGCACTGATCCACAAGCTGGCCGAGATCAGTGATGTGCTGGTGGAGAACTACGTGCCAGGCACCCTCGAACGCTACGATCTGGGCTACGAGCAGATGAAAAAGATCAATCCCAAGCTCATTTACTGCACTCTCAGTGGCTACGGATCGGTGGGGCCATATGCCAAACGTCCGGGCTACGATGTGATTGCCTCCTCCATGGGTGGACTGCTGCACATCACTGGGCAAAGGGATGGTCCGCCCAGCAAGGTGGGTGTGGCCGTCACAGACGTCGCCACTGGGCTGTATGCCCATGGAGCGATCCTGGCAGCGCTCTACCAACGCCAGCAGACTCAGCGGGGCCAAAAGATCGACGTGGATTTGCTGTCCACCTGCTGTTCCCTGCTGATAAATGTCGCCAGCAACTATTTAAACGCAGGCAGCGAAGCGAAGCGTTGGGGCACAGCCCACTCCAGCATTGTGCCCTACCAGAGCTTCAGGACCAAAGATGGTTATCTCACCCTGGGCGCCGGCAGCGATGCCCAGTTCGTGGAGCTGTGTCGTATGCTGGGCATTGAGCCTGTGGCTGAAGATCCCAAATTTAAGACAAACAAAGATCGTGTCCAAAATCGCGAGGAGCTGGTGCAACTGCTGGAGCAGATTCTGGCGCAGGATAGCTCCAAGAACTGGATGAAACGCTTCGAGGGTGCCCCGTTTCCGGTTGGTCCGGTGAATAGCATTAGCGAAGTGTTCGAGGATGAGCATATTAAAGCTATTGGCCTGGTCAAGACGCTGCCGCATCCGCGTGATGGCTCCGTCAAGGTGGTTGGTCCGCCTGTGGTCTACAGCGAGGCACTCAACGATGCCCGCACGGCTCCGCCCATGCTGGGCGAGCACACGGATGCCGTGCTGAGCGAGCTGCTCGGCTATGGACCTGAGGAGCTTGCCGCGCTGCGGGATCAGGGCATTATCCAGTAACTAGTAGCCCTTGCCATGTAAATCCTGTACAGAATTTCCGGAACTATAAATCTAAAGTGTCGAAGGGTTTTTGGTACAATCAATGGGCCAGTCTTCTTCCTTTTCTCTATTGTTCATTATGCCGGTAAGAAGTGTTTCCTTTCCTTTACTTAGCCTCTCATTACTCATCCCAATCCACGTAGTTCTCGACTGAGCATGTGCCGTGGAGCCAGCGCACGAGTCGGCAGAAGGCGATCATTGTGCTATTCTACTCCCTGATGCTGACCGTGGTCATCAACATTGTGGGCTGGATAGCCTTCTTTTGTGTGTTCAAGCACAACGAAAAGTACGCCATGAAAGTGAACGAAGAGAAGCCCAAGGACAAGCAGACCGCTGCAGTCGGGGAGAGGGTGATGGTGTCGAGCACGAGTTTTCTTACCTGAATCTGAGAATGTCCAGCTGCAGGCACACATATGCAAATATCGATTTTATTAACTTCGTCACTGCGTCACGGCAACACGGCAACAGGGGCAAAATGAAAAGGAAAATGTAAAGAAATGAGCAAAATAAAGAACGCAGGGTAGCCTCGGTTAGGGACTCACTTTCAAAACAACTAAAGATACACCTATTTGATTGATTCCCTGGAACAAATGGTTATTGCACTTTGGCGGTGTAGAGCAAGAGCGTCCGCTCACGACAGCGACAGAAAATGATTTGTTTTTGTTTGTCAGTGGGAAATGCTGCTCTGCTGCCAAAAACTAACAATGTTCGCCGCGCTGCCTTCGCCGGTGTGTAGGTGTAGTTGTAGGTGTCAATGGCATATTGTGTTTGCTTTTGAGTTGTGTTCAAAGTGCATAGACCACATCAGACACGACACCAGAGGGAGCTTCGCTGATCGATCGTGAGTGTGGATTTCACACTTATTAAGCCCCAAAGCCGAGATGAAAATTACACTAAGCCGCAGCTGCCCCTCCTGACAAACAAACAAATTAACAGTTATTTCAAAGTATCACTGCTTTGACTGCAGTGTTGGTCAAGGGCTTAAGAGCAGCAAATTTATTTACTTTTCGATTATAAATAAAAGTTGTAGAGGCGAACCCTATGTCATAGTAGGTATACCCTTTGTGTGTGCACCATTCTATAGTGACATAGATCATGCAAATCATGGCTATAAAAACAGCAACCGCAGCGAATGACACTGATGACAAATGTTTATCTCCCACCTGACCCACAACCCTAACCAAACAATTTGGGAACATATGTATTTAGTTGCTGCCCCATTCTGTGAAATTGTGGACTTTGAACCAAGCCCAGCTAGCCACAAATTATGGAATGGATAAATATTACGGCCCCTGTCGTTTCCCGCCATGAAATTATTTCAAAATCTCAACCGTTTTCCAGCCCTGACAGATAATATAAAATACCAAAGCAGTATTTTTCCACACTGCTGTCACACTGCAAATGTATTGTTTTTGTTAAATAATAAATTTTGTTCGTAAAATTTAGCAAAAAATATGCCTAAAAAACCGTCGTTTGTGTCGCGCAACCTGGTCACCATTGTGATGGTGCCCAGCCTCATTGGCATACACCTGGGCTGGAGCTATATGCAAAACAACCGCAAATTAGTAACCGAATCTGAGCAAATAGACCTTCCGCCTGTAACGGTGAGTGGTGTCCCCTGGCCATAAGAAGCTTCCATTAATAATGGCTAAATCTGTCGTTTAGTTTGCCAGATTCGTTTGGCACAAGATAACAGGTGGCGGAGACCAGAGTACGGCGAACCCGCAGCCGACCAGCAGTGCGAAATGATGAGAGGCAGTGATGAGATGGGACAATATGACGGCTGTGGATCGATCTTAAAACATACAATCTATTTATTGTATTGAATTAATTAAAACTACATACGAACGGTATGATACAATGAACTGCTGGTAGCCACGAAAGAGGCCAAAGTCGAAAGAGCAAACTGAATGCGACAATGCAATAAAAGGGTTCTATTAATCTGTGTGTCCTAACCTATCCTATTGGCGATTGCAACTGAGATTAATGCTGCGTTACGCCCGAGTTGACGGTGAGGTTGTCCAGCTGGGCATTGAAGAGCACGTCACTGATTAGCTTCTCCGCAATGATGCGCTGGGTGGGATTGATGGCACGCAGTTTGCTTGCCACATTTACACCGATGGCATCGTATTCGTCATGCGGCGGGGGTTGCGGTGTGGTTGTGTACGCTGTGGTGCTTGCATTGCTAAACAGAGGCTGATAGTGTTCGCGCCCGATCTGTATGGTCGGCACAGACTGGCCATGTCCATTGGCCTGCTGTAGATGCATTTGCTGCTGGTGTTGTTCCAGTGAGTTGACGGCCTATTTATAACGGACAAAAACGTACATTTAATGCCAGAAGAGAATCGAATTACCATTCGCTTACCTGTTGTATCTCACGCTGAGAGTTCGAATCTAGTGATGTGATTTCCAGCACTTTGACGGCATGTCCTTGTGCTGCCGCAGCTGCTATGGAGTTTTGGGCCGCCGCATGTGCCACTAATTGCTGGTGTGCCTGGACGGCAGCCGCATCGTGCTGATGCTGTTCACTCTTCACCAGAGCCACACAATCCGCTGGCGTCACCGATATTGTACTTAGTGTGGCGCCCTCACTGCTTACCACCACATTGTTGGTGGCAGCCACCTCCTCGACTTCGTCGGAGGATGTGGGCGCTAAATTTTCCATATGCTGTGATTGTGTGGCTGTGTGATGGGACTCCTCCTCATACTCCATGGACTCCTCGTCGTCAAAGCTGATGTGCAATTCGCGCTTTGGCTTGGTGCCCGACTCATGCCTCTTGGGCTTGTGGTCGGCGATGAATAGCAGCTTGTCGTAGTACCACAACCGTGTCTCGTAGTCGCTCTTGCAGGTCGTCTTCCGGAACTCCCGCCGGAATGCCGAGCGAAGTGAGTTGATTTTCCTGCAAAACAAAATTGAAAAGGGCAATTAGGTCGCATCGTGAAACAGGTGAGCATAGTTCAACCAATGCACCTTACGACCATGGGTCGGTCGGGATTCGGCTCGACTTCTTTTAGCTTCTCCACCAGCCTGTCGTAGGATCTGTTTCGGGCGGCATGATTGCTGTAGTCGTTGTGCTTCGGCTGCCACAGGCACTCCTCCTCCTGGTATTGCTCTATGAATTCCGTGAGCCAGTGCCGCGAGTATGACCGCAAGTCAACGTTCATCTTTTTATTGAGCAAAATGTTGATTTTTTTTATTGTACGCTGTTTTTGTTTTCAGTGCGTCTCGCGTGAAGTTGGCTGCAAACCAGGAAAACCGTGCTACCACATGCAACGTTTTCACAGTGGTGGCAGCGCTAAACCAGAACTGCCTTTTCGGCTTTTTTAATGCTATATATAACATTTTTATTGCACTTTTATAAAATTAATAATTTTTAAATACATGTTTATTAATCCTGCCAAAGCTAAAATTTACAATCTTATCTATTCCATTTATTTTAGATTTTATCATTTTTTTTTCTTTGAATCTAGCTTGAAACGCAAAAATGAGTCGGGAGAGCGTAAATTGCTTTATTTCGACATGTTTGTTGAGGTTTTTTGATTAAACCTGATTTTATAAGCAATCCAATAAATGGGAGTCTTTAAAATAATTTACAGTGTAGAAAATTGCTTCATCTATCTGGTAAAATTATATGTTAAGTGGTAAGATACTTATTAAGCTTGTAATATTAAACCGAATACCCAAAAATCAAAAATGAGGAATATGATTTTCCCCTGTATGTTTTGATAAGGACAAGGTATATTTTGGTATATTTTGTATCCATAAATCCGCGGTCACACTGATGGAACGGTAGATATAAACAACAATTGCACAAGTCGCGCGGAAAATTATTATTAACAAATGATTTCGACGTGAGATAAATGAGGTGCATTCATTTGGCAAGAACGAAACATACGAGCCAGTGCCGTGCCAGTGCAAAGTGCAAGCCGAAACTTCGGTTTCGAGAAGAGTCGCCAAGAATAAATCTGTGCTATTAACAAAAACAAAAGGTGCGTTTGCCTTAAAAGATTTTCAACATAATTTATTGTTGTTTTTTTCTTGCCCAATTATATAATGTGCTTGTGTGTGTGTGAGTGTGTGAGAGTGTTTTATGTTGCAATAAAATGGAGTAAACAAGGCCCCTCATGATAGATAAATAAAAGCGCAGCTAAGGTTTTACATGTGAGAAGGAGTACATTAAATACAAGTCGGTGGGTAAATAAGATGCACTTGTCTGTGTGTCTCCATATCAGACAAAGAGAAAGATTTCCAACAACAGCAACAACAACAACTTCAACGATAGTCGAGAAACAGCTGTTCCTCTCCTCTCTCATGCCAATCAGAATGAAGTCACGTAGCTCTTTCCAGAAGTAAACAACAAATAAAAGCGAAACGAACTACGTTCTTTGCGAGTAAATGTATGCTTAACGTAATTGAATCTGCATACTATACGTATGTATATAGCATGTAGTATCAGCAATTTCAATTTGTTGTTGTTTTGCTTGATTCAATTCCACTTGCACCACCACTGCCTTTCCACTGCCGGGTACAAAGTCCACTATAAATATACGTCTCCAGCCAGCCCCCCTTCTCGCTGGCGTTTGAGTGTGTCTATTTATGGACCGACCGGCCTGTGTGCTCTCAAACGACGAACAAGCGACAAACAAATTTCAATGCCAGCATTAGAACTAGAATTGGAGTGAGCAACATTTCATTTACCCTGGATCAACTGGATACTGGATCAAGCCCCCCCCGCGAATAGCCTTGACTCAAGTGCAAAACAACAAACCATTTGCCTACACGAACTTGTTTGCATTCAATGAGCGCTACGCCGGCAGCAGTAGCAGCAGCATCCACCCTGGGCTGACAGCTATTTGCCTGGATTGAAATTCGTCCAAAAGGGATTCCACTCTTATCAGAATAGAAAGCAGGGCATTGGGAATGTTAGAATAGAAGGATACCTAGCATGCATATCACTATGTCTTACCTTCTATTTAATATACCTTGCTTGCACTAATGTACATATACATATATGCCTCTGCTTATGTTGTCCCCCCAACAATCACGTTCAAGGCCAGCCTTATGCGAAATTTGCGCTTGTATTTCTATAGCGCTAATGATTCGGTCGCTCTCTTCGAAAGCTTTCCTGCACCGATCCGTCAATGAAATGCGTTAATTATAGCCGCTGCCCACTTGGAGCTGTGCCCACCCCAAACCCCAATCCATCCACAAAGTGATTCTCCCCGCACGTGCGTTCACACGCACACACACACACACAATCACACAAGCACACAATTTGCATGATAATGGTTTTGGAGGTGTGTGCCACACCGAAAGCCATGCTCTGGGTCTCCGATAATCTGTTATTGCTGCTGCTTTAGCTTTTTGCTTTTTGCTATAATACAACACAACCGGTTGGGCGGTTTGTTTAGCAATTAATGCGAACAAACAACAAGACAGAGCAGAGGTCGATCGGCATGTTCCCCTCTCACAGCAGAATGAATGTATTGGTAGCTCCGTCCTATCTATTATAAGACGCAATTAGCGCGTACAAAGCGAATCTTATCAGGTGCTGCTGATTAAGCAAAGAAATTCTAATCTCTGACTAAGTTTCGCGCTTTCAGTAGCCAGTACTCGCACGCACGGGGGGCCCAAAGCAAAGTTCAATTGGGAATGTTGGTTACCTTACCCCAGGCAGCAGATAACATAGAGGAGTCCAACTGCTTCAACTTGGCCAAGACTTGGGTCGAAAAACATTCGTAGATGTGCTTTTTTGAACGCATGCCAAAGAAGAAATTATTTGCTCGGTTTTGCTTGAATTACGAAACAATTGTGACAGATAGAATTTTGCATAGACTTGCGAGAGTGCTTTTCTGTTATCACCTAAAATACATCTGCCACAACAGTACATACAGTGAAGGCTCAAAAGAGTAGAACACATGGTGCACAAATGTCTAATAAATTGCCCATAAACAGAAAGACACATTAATTTCGAATGTACTGCAGAAATAGAAAATTTCCAATATTTTTTTTAAAGGAAAAACTGCCAGTATAAAAAGGTGAAAAGGTATTGCTAAGAGATAGTTTAGTTAAGAACCTTATTATCTAGTGAGATTAGTTCAAAAACTTCGTTGAACACAAACTAAAAACCTGCAACATATCTTTGTCCAGACCCCCAATATAAATTTTTATGCTTTTGCCCACAAATGGACATCACAAGAAACTACCTTTATCAGAGCATCAAACTGCCACATCATGCACAGGACATGTATTTGGTTTTTATGGGAAATTTCCTGTGCGTCTCGAGTTGATCAGCAATGTACTTTGTCATGGGAAAGCGAGATGGTTTGCAATAATATTTGAGACGATTTTAAAGCATCTTTAATAAATTTTTAGTTCATTCTTTTCTTCCAATAATTCGATTTACTGTATTTTATTTTATTAATAAAATATTTACGCATTTTATTGCCTTTGGCATCACAAAGGGTTTTCTCTTTACCGATGTTCAAATGTTTACCCTTTCGAGAGTTTACTGTATGTATGTCCATATGTCCCTGTGTTATATGACCATCTATTTCTATCTATGGGTTTATGAAGCACGCCTCGTTTTGATTAGAAGTCTTATAAATGCAGAGCCAGTGGCGAACCAAACCGAAAGTAAATTGCGAGGGAATGGAAATGATTTTGGTTTTGGTTTTATTTCGGGCACTATATTTGGCTATATTTGTTTTCTGTTATCGGCTGTTATGATAAGCCCCTGCTTATGCATGGCTCAAATTGATATGAAAATTGATTTCTCGTTTTTGCCCAGGAATCAGGAGTCAGAGTCTGCCATGAGCCGTCTTCTGGAGAAGCCGAACATTGCCATGTCCATTAAGTCAACGGGTAGTCAATTATCGAGCACAGTGGCCACCACCGCAACGGGTGCGGGTACTGCTGCTGCTGCGTCTGCATCTGCATCCACAGATGTGGAGGATGAGGATGCGAATGGAAAGCATCATGTGACATCATCATCGGAGCAGCAAACATCAGCAATAGAAACACCCGCCAATTCAGTCAGCACCAGTCCTAGTCCCAGTCCCAGCCCCAGCGGTAGGTCCCATTGAATGCCGCCATTTCCTGTTGATTTTCATTTAATTTGTGGCCCCCATTTAGTGCGCACCAATACCAGTATCGACCAGGTGGTCATTAGTCTGGTGTCTGGAGCGGCGGCAGGGGCTTTGGCCAAGACCGTCATCGCTCCGCTGGACCGCACAAAGATCAACTTTCAGATACGCAAAGATGTGCCCTTCTCGTTTCGTGCCTCGCTGCGGTATCTGCAGCACACCTATGCCAATGAGGGTGTCCTGGCCCTGTGGCGTGGCAACTCAGCCACCATGGCCAGGATTGTGCCCTATGCGGCCATACAGTTTACGGCCCACGAGCAGTGGCGCAGGATCCTGCAGGTCGACAAGGATGGCTCCAAGTATGTTGTAACACTCTCTAACACTCCTTCAGGCTTCCACTAAAATCGGTTTCTTTTCTGTTTGCAGCACAAAGTTACGCCGCTTTGTGGCTGGCTCACTGGCGGGCATTACGTCCCAATCGTTGACGTATCCCCTGGATCTGGCACGCGCACGCATGGCTGTGACGGACAGATACACGGGCTACCGGACGCTGCGGCAAGTCTTTGCCAAGATTTGGGTGGAGGAGGGCCCACGGACGCTGTACCGTGGCTATTGGGCCACAGTGCTGGGTGTGATTCCCTACGCGGGCACCTCCTTCTTCACCTACGAGACCCTCAAGCGGGAGTACCATGGTGAGCAGTGCTTCCTAGATGATTACTATCGAATGTGCCTGCTAAAATGTTTTTTTTTTTTGTTTAAATTGCAGAAATGGTTGGCAATAATAAACCGAATACTCTGGTGTCGCTGGCGTTTGGTGCTGCGGCTGGTGCCGCTGGCCAAACGGCGAGCTATCCCCTGGATATTGTGCGCCGAAGAATGCAAACGATGCGTGTGAACGAAGCAAATAATGAACGCTGTCCCACCATTCTAGAGACGCTCCTCAAAATCTATCGGTAAGAAAATCGGTAATCGTTAATTACGTTGGTTATAATCCACATTTATGGTGTGCTTTCACAGTGAGGAGGGTATCAAGAATGGCTTCTACAAGGGCCTCAGCATGAATTGGCTGAAGGGCCCCATTGCTGTGGGCATTAGCTTCTCCACCTATGACCTGATCAAAGCCTGGCTGAGGGAGCTGTCCCACTTGAAGCGTGGCCGGCTGGAGGATTAGCAGTCGAAGCCTCCCCAACCCAACTCCCAAACACACACCAAAAAACGCACTGCTTTCGTTCGTAAGTCTCACATGATGCAATAATAAAGCTGGCGAGGGAATTGTGCAGCGCCAGAATTGCTCTAATTGTTAGATATTTTTAGTTGTTAATTGTGCAGGAGAGGAGAAGCGATGCGAAAAAACACTCGCCGAAACGCTTAAGATTTGTTATAAACCATAATTGATTTATTATCTGCTTTAAGCCCCAAAGTAATAAAAAAAAAAAAATAGTCTGTATATTGATTCGCCCTAAGCCCTGGTATCCTATTTTGTATTCAGCGGCATTACCTGGACAATAACTTACTCTTTTACTCCTAGACTAATGATTTAATGAAGATTTGTAAATGTATTCTGTCAATTTGCTTTCGTAATTGTAAAAATGGCCATGAATTTACCATGAATGTTCACCAGCGAAATCATCTTATGCATATATTATATATACGAATATATTGTATGTTAGTGTGTTTTATATGATTATAAATAAATTTACAAAAATTGTTTAAACATAGCGTGCGGCTTTCTGTAGGGTTGGCATTCAAACAGACCGCCCATATTCTTAGTGCTAGGTGGCAGCACCTCCGATTACCGATCATTTTTCATCGCTACAATGTGTGCCTTACATTCCATTCCCCACGTTACGCATTTCAGGTAACAGATATCAATTAAAATTTGTTGTAACGTGCTGAAAGGAGCAGCTTCTTTTTTACAAACAGTATTTTTACGCGGTTGCTGTTTAAATAGAGCGGGGCTATGTGGGTTAAGTTTGTTCTTTATCCCGATAATATTTCGATACATTTCTGAGGGTCACACTGCTCCTTGACTAAACTAAACAAATTGTGATTTAAAAAAATTAACAAGTAGAGTGCCTGCCAAATTAAATAATTGCGACGAACACAATTCCGCGTCCCGTATGCGGTCTTCATATCGGCCCAAAAGTGTTTCTCCTGCCTCCGCGGCCGCTAGTCAAAGGGTTCAACCAAAACGCATCAAAGGGACGCAACAAAAGGTGAGAGATGGCTGCAAAAATGCAGGCGTAAATTTTTAAATGACTATTGATTTTGCGAGTCACACCCACCGCCCCCCTGTTGCTTCGCCCAGCGGCTCCCGAGAAGATTCCAGACCTATGATACGGGGGCGAGATTTGCGTTGGCTTGTTGCTGCGCACAACAGGTGAAAGCACTGGAGGAATGTCGGTGAGGGGAAGGGTTCCTTCTGAGCAGTGTAACGCAGTGGCAGTGGTTAGCCTTGGCTTCTTGTGGGGCTAATCAATTAATTGTAATTAATTATACGGAAAGACATGGGCTACAAGTGTGTATATATGTATATGCGTGTGTGTGCACACATACAGTGTACGTCTCATAGGAGGAAGCGCCAACTTGTTCCACTTGTACCGCAACAGTTTCTCACATGCTCTCAAGCTGTTAAATATTTATAAATACGCTTCGAACATAAATTGAGGTAATTCGCAGAAACGCAAATTGTTTTATAAACAAATGAATAACGGGTATCGATTAGCAGAAATCGATACATCGCCTGAAACATGAGTGTGCAACGCAAAAATGAAGCTTCTCCACAGTATATTAAGAATTAGGGTGGATTTTGCCTTGCATGCGTTGTATTTTCTGGCCGTTTCGCCTATTCTGCACACCTTTTTTTTACCTTGCGGCAGCACGTTTTCTAGAAACATGCGTCGGCAACATTAAAAAATATATCGATACATCGAAATATCAGTTTTAACATCTCTAATGGGAACATAAATCGCTATTTCTCACAAATATTTTCGCCGCCCTGTAAACAACACAACACCTATCGAATTTTTTCTGAATTCAGAATTATCTTTTTGAACTGTGCGCGTCGTCGAACAATAGAAACATTTTGAACAAATAAAAAAGTATATAAACAGAGCAGTTGATAAATTTCACGAAATATTAATATTCGGGCGGCCATTCGCGCAACAAGCAGAGTCAAAGTCCTTCAAGTTTGCCAACAAGTTGCATCCATTTTCAAGTGTCCTTTTCGATTTTTGCGTCGAAATACTTCTTCTAAGGCGTGTGCCGGCGCTGCTTTTTCATACCGGAGGACACTGAGATATCCAAAGAAGCCGAACGGAAGAGAGGTGTGTGTGTGTGTGTGTTCGTACGGGAGTTGTGTGTGTGCACGATTTAAAAATAAAACAGCAAATACATAACAACAAAAAATATCGAAAGCAACAGCGCCGCCAAATACCCATACAATCAAAGGCCGCGACCTGTACGTGTTTACACATTCTAGACTGTCTGGCTGTTCTTTTGTTGGTGTGCACCAAAAGGTAAATAGAAAAAAAAGAGCATTCCAATGCGGGGGATTCGGGGGCCCGCCACGCTCGTGCGTGTTTGTGTATGTGTGGGAGGACTTCCCAGGCAGCGACGTCTACGTTTGCTGCAGTTCTTCGAGGCGATGCGATGCGCCGCACTGTGGGCGGGATGCAGCATTTTGCGCAGAATGTGTTTAATTGTCTGAAAGTTTCCAAAATTGTATTTTAAGACGTCGACCAAATCGTGTTTTCTTTGACCCATGAAAAATCATGTGTTTCCACTTGAAGTTTTTATATTTTGTATACACACACATCCGAATGCACATGGAAATGGTTTATAGATAGGTACATACATACATACAGCGCTCCTGTTTCTTATTGTTGTTGGCAGCGCATGTCGCTGCCGTTGCCATTGCTGTGGCCATCTTCGTTCATGGTTATATTTCCTGGAAAATCCATAAAAACAAAGGCAAAAAGAATTTCGAGTGCAATAGCACAAAATAACAACAACAACAACAACACATGAACACCACAGTACAATCGGGGGTATATATTAGCTTCGCTCTCTCTCGCTCTTACATCGCACTGCTGGTTGACTGAAGGGGCTCCCTTTCTACCTCTACCTCTGCATCTACCTCCCCGTCTATCGCCCTATCATGCTCCTCATATTCACATGCTACTCTTGCTTTCATACGTACGTTGCTGTTGCTGTCGCTGTCGCGACTTCTGCGCGCTCAACACTTTTATCTCTGCTTCATTCTCTCCTCTTCGTCTTCCTCTTGTTTTCCCCTTTCAACGTGTGTTGCGCGCACACACGTCGCCGTCACCGACGGCGTCGTCCAGTGACTTGTTGGCCAGGTCTGGCCTGGTCTGTCCACCTCTTTCCATTTTGGACAAATTACTCTTGTCAGCGGACGACGGTTCGTGGCAATGACGTTGCGCGAGCCTTAACCCCTTTTTGTCCCGCTGGTAGACCTGAAATCTACAAAAATCCCTTTCCCCTCCCTCTGCTGTCTTCTGGCCTGACCTGGCCTGGCCTGGCCTAATCGTCGCCAATAGGTGGTTTAATAGATACGAGATGCGATAAGCATGATTTTCCTTTGTTAGACTTCCTAGAAGGCATTCTTTTCGTCTGTGATCAGCATTTTAAATATTGGTGTTTACCAAATATTCACAGGATTTTGTATAATATCCATGGAATGAATAATTCTGCTATATATTTAAACGATCTTTCTTTATTTTTGTTACAAGTAAATCTACAGAAAGCTATTTTTGTCACTTGAATTTACGATAGTACCCAGTCCTTGGCAGAATTTTTTGCTCTCTTTCTTATCGCGAGCAGCCTCTCTCTCTCTCTCTTTTGTACTCTCTTACACTGACAATTTGTTATCACGAGCTAATTAATTGCGTTGCATTTAATAGTTCTGGCCGCAGATGTTTGTGTATACATACATACATATGTATAAATGTAAGTGGAGCACTGCCCTTTACCACCAGCGCTAATGCGATCGCGCTGTGCTGACGAGGATCTGCTGTACTTACACAAATAACTTTCAGTTTATCAGGCGGTGGCTTATGCTGCTTTTAAATCAATCCCGGGGCAGCGTAAAGTAAAAATATATAAAGCTCAAAAATCACGTATTCGATTCTTGTGGTCCATTTTTTTTCCTTATAATTTTAATGATAGAAAGAAATAATTTCTGCAGCAGAAAAAACGACAGCTGCAACATCTATTTGAGCGACTACTTTGACGACTAGAAAAGATCAGACAGTTCGTGACACCCATTTATGACTCCAAAAGAAATTGGATAACAAAACGTAAATCAAAATTTTAGCAATCGAAATTGCTGTTTCAGCTGTCCAATATAATGTATAACGCACCTTAATACCCTGAACCCTGATGATCTCTGCTGATCATTATTTTTTGCAAAGGAGCAACAGACTATACTAGATTTTTTCAAGTTGACACAAGATTGAGCTTAGACCGATTTTTGTTGAATTATGCTAATTTGGTCACCAAAATGTCTCTAAATCTCCAGGCAAGCAATATTAAAAACGACAGACCATCAAACCGAATTTATTACCAGGTTACCCAGGTTGAAATATGTTCTTTAATGTCATACTAATTATATATTTGTGAGATCTGTCATGTTATGATGACAGTTCGGGTTTCTTGAATTAGCATAAAAACATGAATAATTTGTCAGCAAAATGATAAGAGAATTTTAAAATTTTATTTTAATTTTTTTTTAATCGAAAATGTCAAGGGGATCAGCAGCAAATATTACAGACCATTCCACCAAAATTACTCATCGCTGATAAGTCGTCTTAGATCAAAATATATTCGGTGGCTTATGTCAACCAAAATTATAAGAGACGTTTGCAGGGGTCTTCTTTGTTTTTCGGATCGATTTTAGTTTCCTCCATCTTATCAAAAAGCTTAAGATCATTTCTTGAAGGCGACATCAGCAACAAAATTCGTAAACAAAAAACCATTAAGAAAATCTTCAATCCTCCCAAATATGGCAGAAAATAATAAGACGTTTAGCACGCATATATGTATATGTATGTTCGATGATCATTCGATTTCTAAACTTATTTGAAACAGGTGCTCTCTTCAGAGAGGATACTCGTTCATTAGGACTAAAGGGCAGAACGAGATAGCGAGATCCTAGGTTAGGAATGGCAGTGATCTCATGTTTTGTATATCATAGTTACATATATATTTCTCCTCCCAATTGTATGATCAGCAGCGCATTGCATTTTCCCAATATACCCAATGCCCCATGCCTCATGCCCCTGCCCACTGCACGTAATCGCGCATTTGGGATCACACCGAAACGAAAGCCGACAAACATCGTACAAAATGTCAGGCGAGTAGCAGCAACGATAAATGATTACTTAAATAACACTTGGTTTGTGCGGCGGTGTCGCCTTCCACCCCCACTCCACTGTACGGCAAAAACTCGTACACACACACAGACACACAGGCACGACACCCGTTTACAGACAAGCATGTGTTGTGTATACAAATACATGCTTATTAAACATTTATGAGTGCAAAAACAATACCACAAACGGCACAAATTGTACGTATGTATGTACATACATACGAGTATGTACGTGCGCGCATCGGGCATCATGCATGCTTACTCCGCGTATACTCGTATACGAATTGTTGTGTGTGAATGTATTCGTGTTGCTTATAAAAAATTGAATAACAAAAAGTACAAAATGTCGAAGCAGCAAAAAGCCTCAAGCAAGAAACAACTCCACACATTCATCCAGAACTCTGGGGAGCTTTGGTCGGGGCTCCCCAATGGGAGTTATATTGTGGTCCTTAGGAATGGGGTAAGGTCCGAAGAACCATAACAAATATGACCATGTCATGCAACATTCTGGAATGGAACAAACAACGACTGACCGACCGATGGACGGACCGACTCTTTTAGTAAATATTTATGCCACCCAGTGTCTTGTGAACAACTGTCGCGGTTCCCAGTTCCCACATGTCGAGTGCCCACTGTGATTGCGCCAGTACCTTTGCCTTACACACTTTTTATCTGTTCTTTCCGCACTACAGTAAACGTACTGGCGGTTATCAGCAGCAGCGCGTACGTTGCTGCCATAAAACTTTCCACTAGCCAAAAAAGCTTTTCAGTTGAAATGAAAAATCATTTTTTGGTGGAGAGGAGAGCGGTATATCTTTGTGTATCTGATTCTAACTTGTTTATGGACAGAAGATAACAATATTTTTCAGAAACAGCAAATCTAGAATAAACCTTTGAAAATTATTCTTGTATGCGTACTACTTTTCGGGATTTAAACTCAAATTGTATCTGCAAGAGACCGTTTTGCAGCACATGTAGATACATATGTACATAGATACCGATGTATATGGAGATCTAATACACTCTGTGGCTCTGTTAACTCTGGAGCAGTGTTGTTGGCTGAGTCATCATCAAATGTCTTATCTAAGAGGCTTTCAATGCCCTGACTCTTTGGTGTCCGGCAATGGGTGTCAGCATTATTCACAGAGCTAAATATTGCATTTCGGTCTACTGCTACTTTGTTCTCCCACCCAATTCTTCTAATTCTCCCAGCTACGCCGCCTCTCTATGCCTCTCTGCGGTTCTCTGTTTGTTTTCGATTCGCCTTTTTGTTTGCCAAAACGGCAGCAATAACAATTTGTGTGTGGGCAGAGCGAGCAGCTGGCCGGCCACCGGGAGCGTGTGTCAGTCCCATACAGTCCTTCAAAAAAGTATGCTTACCCCTGAAGCCAATTTTAAATAATATTTGAGTCTTTAAACATTAATATTTAATTCCAATAAAGAAATATAAAGTCTTAAAAATAATCTTAGCATACAAAAAAATAATAGAAAATTTTCAAATTTATACAGAAGTTTAACTTTGGCTTCAGGCATTGAATGGTAATAAATAAACAATCATAACCCTTCATACATTTCTCTTGTTAACCAGCAATTTTAAGAACATCATGGATCATGGAGGTCTCTAAAGCAAATAAACTTTTATTGTACTGCGATTGTGGAATTATGCACAATAATGCAGCTACATTACTTGCAGAGAACGTGCTGGGAAAGTCCTTTTGTCCGTGACTGTACACATTGTGCAAAGTCAACAATCTATTGAACGTATTTTAATGTGCTATAATATGTATACATATGTATGTATTTATATATGTATGCATCTCATAAGCAATATTCACAGCTAATTGAGAAAGCACACACATAAAGCGCGCTGGGTTTTCCCCGCAATATTCAATTGAGTTGTATTTTTTCCAAGATTTTTCCGATTTTGCATAGCGATACGAGGCGATACACAAACGGATGCATCAGACAAAGTAAAAAGTGGCTAAACCAGTTCAGTTTCCACTGAAACTGCAAATGCAAGTGCAAGTGCAACAACAGCAAAAACAATTCACTTTCTTTGCATTTCAAGGTTATTGTTTTGATTTTTGGATTGGGTGGCGAAAAAGGTTCACTTAGCTCTTGGTC